AGAAAAGAGAGAGAGAGAGAGAGAGAAAGAGGGAGTGTGCTCGACTGAAAGAATATTTGATTATGGTAGTAGTATTGCCGCGCCTTTTTTCATGAAAGAGAGAAAGGGAGAAAGAAAGAAAGGGAGAAAAAGAGAGGTTAAAAGAGAGAAGAAGAACAAATTGGAGAACAAAAAAAAAGAAAGAGAGAGAGAGAAAGAAAGAGTGTTCGACTGAAAGAATATATGCCACTACAACTAGCTCCATATATATATATAACAAATAAATATATAAATATTTATTTATTTTAAAATAAATATATAAATATATATGTAATATTTACATATATATTTATATATATAATTATATATATAATTATATATATAATTATATATATAATTATATATATATATAATATATACAATAGCTCCATAATCAATTAGGAAAACAAAATGTAGAAAAAGAGAGAGAGAGAGAGAGAGGGTAGAAATTGAGAGAAGGAAGAAAATAAAAAGTAATGAGAGAGAGAAGAGAAAACAAAGTTGTTTTTCATTTATTAAAGGATGATGACGATGTGAAAGATGACGTCATAATGGTGATTGATCGGAGGTTGATTACGGTAACGATGATAAGAATGATGATGATGACGACGACGACTATGATGATGATCAAATATTTAAAATGGAGAAGGGTAAAAAGAATTCAGTGATAATGGCTATTGATGATGATGATGATGACGTCATGCAGATATCCCTGAAAAAATCATCACCATCATCATCATTGTCATCGTCATCATCATCAGCATTATCAACAACGACAACAACATTATTATCATCAGCGAAAACAACAACAATATCATCATCATCATCATCTTACAATACATATGCAACAGTTAATCCAACATCTTTTTATAGTTGTCTTCATCTGTCTCTCTCGAGATGAGCGCGCGTACACGCACACACACGCACACAAACACACATACAAACATACATACAAACACACATACAAACACACGTACAAACACACACGCGCGCGCATACAGACATGAGTGATATTTACCGATGATGAAGATGATGATTATGACTTTGATGTTATCGATGGTATTTAAAGGTTATGGATGATGATGATGATGATGATGATGATGATGATGATGGTGATGATGATGATGGTGATGATGATAACAATAATAATAAAAATAACAATTATGATGATGATGATGATGATGATGATGATGATGGTGATGATAACAATAATAATAAAAATAACAATTATGAGGATGATGATGATGATGATAATAATAAAAATAACAGTTATGATGATGATTATGATGATGATGATTATGATGATGATGATGATGATGGTGATGATGATGATGGTGATGATGATGATGATAACAATAATAATAAAAATAACAATTATGATGATGATGATGATGATGATGATGATGATGGTGATGATAATGATAATGATGACAGTGGTGATAATGATAACGATGGTTATATTCTTGGTAATGATGATAATTTTTTTGCTTTTGTAATCATAGCTTAGATGGCCAAACGCAGGTATTTGGGCTTCAATTCTCTTTTAAAGCCTGTTTTCCGTGTATTACCTTTCTTTTCTTCTCTCTCTCTCTCTCTATCTCTCTCTCTCTCTCTCTCTCTTGCTCTCTTACTATCTCAAATTTTCTTCAAATTTTTTCAAATTTCTTTTTATCTTTTTTCATTTCTTTCTCTCTCTCTCTTTCTCTTTTTTTCTCTCTCTCTCTTTTTCTCTCCAACTCTAACTCTCTCTACTTTTCAAAATCTCGTAACCTTTGATAAATATAAATATTTAAGGAAATTGTTGATTAATAAAAACGGATGAGACGATGCGAAGAATATTAGTAATAATAGTAATAATAACAATAACAATAATAATAAAGGGTCAAATGTGCCCAAACACAGTCATTTCTTTTGTTCGTTTGCTTGTTTGTTTGTCTGTTTGCCTGCTCGTTCGTTTGCGTCTGTTTGTCTGTTTGCCTGTTCGTTCGTTTGTCTGGGAGTGAATTCGCCGTAAATTTTTCTAGTCATAAACATGGGTTTGTTCTGATTGGTGTATTTTATGTATTTGTATGTTTGTATATTTGTTTGTATGTGTGTATGTATGTGTGTTTGTTTGCTTGTATGTATGTATGTGTGTGCAGGTTTATGTATGTGTGTATTTATGTATTTTTATAGCCAACTTTAAAAATTTGTCTTACTTGAAGAAAAAATTAAACAGGATGAACAAGAGCGTATAAATGTATTTATTAATTTGACCTTTAGATAAACATTGCCCTGTATAATTTGCAGTAGCAAATTACTACTATTACCACTACTACTACTACTACTTCTACTACTACTACTACTACCACTACTACTATTACTACTACTTCTATTACTACTACTACCACTACTACTATTACTACTACTTCTATTGCTACTACTACTACATATGTGCTGATATAAGTGCTCGTGCTCTTACAGAAACTTTCGCTAGTACAATTAGCAAGTACAGTAACACACCACACACAGTGAGATGAAATGTCAATAACGAAAGAAAAAAATTTGCATATGGGTCTATGGTTAATGATAACAATATGTACGTGAGTTTCTTATTATAAGTACACAAGCACTAACGAACAAGTACACAAGCACTAACGAACAAGTTCAATAGTACTGTTAGAGTAGTTCAAAGGTCAAAGCCAACACGCGCGTGTTACAGCATAATTGTCCATCTAATTAGTTCATTATTCTTCATTCAACTTTGCTTATTTCGTGAGCATGGGGCCTTGCTGGGTCCATTTTTAGCTAATTAAATGGCAGTTAAATGTTTATATAAATGCATGTATGTTTGCGTGTGTGTGTGTGTACGTGTGTGTGTGTGTGTGTGTGTGCTGAGTATTCTACATACATTCCTGTATTTTTTGCACTCAGTTTAATCTGTTTAATCTTGTTTTCTTCCATCCTTACTTTTGTATCTTTATGTGCGCGCGCCATTCTCGTTGAGATCTACAAACTTCTCAGGTGTCCTTATTTATGAAAATTATTTCAAATAGACTATGTACAGTAAGTAGGTGAGTTAAATCATTGAAATATTTTAAAAGTCATTCTCTCACTTTCTTTTTCTCTCTAACTCTCTCTCTCTATCGAAGAAAAAAGATCAATAACACATTCGATTTCATATTCTTTCGTTCCTTTCTTTCTTCTCTCTTTCTTTCTCTCTCTCTCTCTCTATTTCCTTCTTTCTTTCTCTCCCTCTTTTAAAAATAATAACTGTAATAAAATAATATTTTTATATTCTTATATTTTCTTCGTTTAATCCAGACAGCAAACAGCATTAGAGTCTATTTTAACTTTTATCATCATCTTCATCTTCGTGAATTTTTAATCTTCAATCTGGCAAATATTTTGGAGATAATAACAACACACACACACACACACACACACACACACACACACACACACACACACACACACATACACACACACACACACGCATACACACACACGTATACACACACACGCATACACACACACGCGCACAGACACACACACACGCATAGACACACATGTACACAAATATAATTTTCAAAGCAGTCACCAAACTACCAATAAATAAATAAATAGATGAACAAGAAATTGACAAAAAATAACATTTCAAAGTCTGGAGAGCATAGATAATAAAATAAAAATTTAATATCTTTGATGCTCAGTCATTGCATTCTATTATCGTCCGTCCGTTGCATAGATACGTCACAATCCCCAGAACAGAAATTAAATGTGGACGAATTATTTTTCTTAAAGATCCACGGTCTCCATTGAACCCATGTCACTTATTTGTCTTTGGATACAATTAGATTTTTTGTTTTTGTTTTATTTTAACTATTATTGTATTTACATTAAAAATATTGGTTTGTTATTTTGTAGTAGTAGTAGTTACTGTTGCTATTTCTTTGTTGTTATTGTTATTTCTTTGTTGTTGTTATTTCTTTGCTAGTGTTGTTATTTCTTTGTTGTTGTTGTTATTTTTTTTGTTTTTTTTCCCATTTTTTCTCTTTCCGTTTTTAATCGTCATCATCATCCATCACTATTATACGCTTCCTTTCATTCGCCATCATCACCATCATTACCGTCATCATCATCAGCATCACCACCTTCATCATCATCAACATCTTCTTCATCATCATCATCTTCAAAATCGTTTTATTCATTCATACAATCGCTCGTTCAATCATTCATTCTTCATTCGTTTTTATAAATTTAGTCATCATTCTCTCCATCCATCATTCTTACGCTCGTTTGTTTAATTGTTTAATTGAATAAATATTTCATTCGTTTGTTCATTCTTTCGTTCATTCATTTTGCTTTCACTCACTCATCTATTAATCCATTCCTTCGCTTCTTCATTCACCCATCATTCATTCTGTTCATTCACTCATTCATTCATTTGTTTTAATATTAAAACAACCCCTGGTTTAGATTACTCTTATTGGAGTGATTGATGAAATGAATGAAAGATTGGATGGGTGAATTGATAGACGGATGAGTAAATGAACGAATGAATGAATGAGAAAACAAATGATTGATTGAATGAGTGATTAAATAAATAAATAGAAAAATGAATGAATAAGTTTTTTTAAGTGTGTCTGATCTTTCTATATAAGTAATGCATCAAAAAGATTGAAATATGAAAGAACGAGAGAGCGAACGAACAAACGAATGAATAAATGCATGCGTGCATGAATGAATGCATGCATGCATACCTGTTAGTAATATTACTTTCATCTCTAAAATAATAGAAAGCGTAGTTTACAATCAATTATCATTTAATTTAAACTCTAACTCCTTGCTACCTGTATCTCAATCAGGTCTCAGACCTGCTTACAGTACTGAAACTTCTTTACTCAAAATACATAATGATATCCTTCTCTCTAGTGACAAAAGTAATCTTACTCTTCTTCTTGCTCTTGACTTTTCCTCTGCTTTTGATACTGTTGATCAAACTATTCTCTTGAGGCTGCTAGATCTTTCTTCACACATTCATCAAATAAATCTGCATTTGCTTTTTCTGGTCCTTTTCTCTGGAACTCTCTACCTCCTTCTCTGTCTACTTCTCCATCACTTACGAAGTTCAGAGCGGATCTCAAGACCCATCTGTTTGCAAAATTCATTGAGGAGCGCTGTTGAACATCTCGGAAATAGCGCTTTATAAACTAGTTAATTGATTGATTGATTGTTTGATTGATAGAAGAATGAATGCGTGAATGAATGAGTGAACGAATAGATTGACAGACTGATTAATTATTGAGTAAATGGATGAATAATGAATGAATAGTAAGAGAGAGAGTAAATAAAAACGAAAAAAAAAGATTGATTTAACATTTTATGAGATATTTAGCATCTAGGACGCGGCTCTAGCGGGCAAAAAAAAATTTTCACCCGAATTGTTAAATTAATAACAAGCAATAATATAAAATCAACATTTCTGGAATTAAAAAAAAAATAATGAAATTTATATATTAATTCCTCTTTTCGTCATCGTCACCATCATCATCATCACCACCACCATCATCATCACCACCACCATCATCAGGATCAGTTGCGATAAGGCTCCCCACAAGAGTAGTTCGGATCTGTCCCCGGGGCAGAACCTGTAATGATGCAACGTTTCTGGCCACACAACTGATGATGATGGTGATGATGATGGTAGTGGTGATGAAGAAGAAGAGGATGATGTGGTGGTTTTGGTTATGATGATGATGATGCTGATGATGTGGTGAATTAGTTAATTGTAAGAACCCTAATGATGCCAAAACACACCACAAAACTATCACTCAAATTAGTTGAATGCTAAATGGGTGCCAAAAAAAACCTCTCAACTATCACTCAAATTAGTTAAATGTTAAAAAGGTGCCAAAAGAAACCTCCAAGCAGGGGTTTTCGCAGGTGCATGTTTCGCATCCATTTCTGTCCCTGATGTAGCCCTGCCTAGGACATTGGTTCACACACTCTTTCTTCTCACACCCCGTAACTATAATAATAATAATTAATAATAATAATAACAATAATAATAATAATATTTAATAATAATAATAACAATAATGATAATAACCTTTTTTAAGTTCAAAGTTCGACTGGCAAATTTTTTATAGCATTTTTTATTCTAAACTTGCTACCTAGTTAAAATGTAAACATGGTCATCATCAACATCGTCGTCGTCGTCATCATCATCGTTATCATCATCATCTTAACTTACAGGGCACACATTCAGCGGTTAAACATCCGGTAAGTCCTTTTGGCGGGCAATTTGTTGACGTCATTTTGCAGGTCGTTCCTATTGGACAAGGGTCGAGCTGTGTTGTTGTTGTGTTGTTGTTGTTGTTGTGTTGTTGATAATGTTGATGTTGTTGTTGATGTTGTTGTTGTTGTGTTGTTGATAATGTTGATGATGTTGTGATGTTGTTGTTGTTGATAATGTTGATGTTGTTCTTGTTGTTGTAACTGCAGCTGTTTTTGTTGTAATAACGATATGGATGATAATTACGACGATGGTGGTGATGATGATGATGATGATGATGGTGATGATGATGATGATGATATGATGATGATGATGATGATGATGATGATGATGATGATGATGATGATGATGACAACGTCAGCGATGATGATGACGATGACGTTGATGATGATGACGATGATAATGACGATAATGATGATGGTGATGATGACGATGCTAATGATCAGTATCATAACCTCACTCACCCTATCAAAACATCTGGTCATGCAGAATAGACAGAGGCAAGTCCCATTGCCTGGATCAGGGTTGTAGTTAAGCCGTAAGTCACATGGCATGCTAGTTAATGGTGGGCAGTTCGGACAATATTCTGACGTCATAATGATGATGATGGTGATGATGATGACGTAATGATGGTGATGATTATGATGTAATGGTGTTGATGATGATGTCGTGACGATGGTGATGATGACGTAATGATGGTGAGGATGACGATGATATCGTAATGTGATGTCGTAATGACGCTGACGTCACAATGATGATCTCATAATGATGTTGATGATGACGTGATGATGATGATGTCATGTTAACAATGATAATGATGATTGTGATGGTGTTGCTGATGACTATGGTGGTTATGATAGCGATAACAGAGTTATACAACACCCCACCAGCTCCGGTTCTAATGATGACCGCAATAAATAAAAAAGTGATAACATAAGACGACATTTAAAATAGTTAATAATAATAATATTATTATTATTATTATTATTATATTATTATTATATTATTATTATGATTATTAAAATTAGTATTAATTTATGCTGCTTTGTTTTTAGTTATTTGACCACTAACACGGCCTTCTGATTCAACTAAAAGATTTCTCAAGTCATATATATACAGTATAAAGAGAGAGAAAGAGAGAGAGAAAGAGAGAGAGAGAGAGAGAAAGAAAAAGAAAGAGGGAGAGAAAGAGAAAGAAAGAGGGAGAGAAAGAGAGAGGGAGAGAAAGAATAGAAATAATTTTTTCAGTGGCAAAATATTTATAATTGTTAATTAGTTAAAATAAAATTCAAGGTTTTGAAAGTTAAAATTAGAATATAACGAAGTAAAAAATTTACAAGGTTTTTATGACCATTACAATGAGAGAAGAATTTAAATGCACGCACACACATACATACACACATATATATACACACGTACACACACACACATCCACATGTACAAACACACACATACACACAAACATACATCATTTATCGATACGCCTTAACATACTGCGTGTGCATTCGAACCTAGTTCTTCGTACTTTGTAGAATCCGACGCTTTATTTGGCGATAACTTGCTTCCTATTCTAGAACCATATTGTTATTTCTAAAATTCTATAATTTGTTTGCAACACGGTGGTAATTCTTTGTTAGGCACGTACATATGTGCGTGTGGATGTATGATTGGATAAGTAGATAATTTCATTTTATCTGACCCAAAAGAGACCCAAATCTGAAAAGAAATCTTTATAATACTTTTTAGAATCAACAAACAAAACATTTTTAAAAGTTTTTAAAAATGATTTTTGATAATTTTGTTCAGAACTCTAATTCATTTAAAACTAAACAATCGATTGGTAAAATAATTGTCGATAGGATGGTGTTAATTGTCAGTATTGTCATAGCCGAGCGGTTTCGTCGTTTGCCATTTTTGGAGGAACTCAATCTCTGCAAGTGTACCTGGGTTCGGTTCCTGGCTGAACGCTGCTCATTGCGCAAGGACCGTCTCCACATAACTACAGAAAAGAAAAACTAATTAATTAATTCATAATCTAGATTGTAAATCAGACAGCCAACAACCAATCAATCAATCAATCAATCAATCAACCAACCAACCACTCAACCAACCAACCAATCAATCAATCAATCAATCAACCAACCAATCAATCAATTGATTCGATCAAACCAACCTCCTTGCACGGATCAACACAGAGACAAGTTTTGCAGCCATTGGCATCGTGAAAGAATCCAGTTCTAGGGCATTCATTTGGGCAGGAGAGCGGCTGGCATCCCGTGGCTAAGGGCAAGTGGGATGAGTTTTTTCTCTTTTG